ATCACTTTACTGCTGAATTCTAAAACAAAAATTTAATAGAGAGCTAATATCAAATCTCCTCAATCTATTCCAAGCAACCAATGTGGAAAAAACCCTTCCAAACTCTTTCAATGCGGCAGGCATTACCCAGATTACCAAAACTAGACAAAGATAGAACAAAAAGAGAAAACCAGACACCAATAACCCTAATGCATATAGATGTAAAAATCCTCCACAAAATACTAGCAAACTGATTTCAACAGCATATCAAAAAGATTATAGAACATGACCGAGTGAGTCCTACCCTGTGGACAAAGGATTGCTCAGCACAGGCAAATCCATACATGTAATATACCCTATGGACCAACTGAAAGACGAAATTATAATGTCATCTCAAGAAATGCAGACTTCTTTTTAAATTTAAAGTAGACTTTATTTTATAGAACAGGTTTGAGTTCAGAGCAAAACTGAGCATAAAGAGAATTCCAGTATATATACCCTTGTTCCTAAACATGCACAACTTCCATTACCAATACCTCTGGCCAGAGCCGTACACTTGTTACATTTTCTGACCAACATTGACATGGCAGTATTACTCAGAGTTCATAGACTCTTTATTTTTTTTAAACTCCAACATCCTTTTGTGATAAAAAAAAAAAAACACTCAGCAAATTAGGGATAGAAGAAATGTACCTCAACAATAAAAGCCATATCTTACAAAGTCACAGCTAATATGACACTATAGGAGAAAAACTGAAAGATTTTTCTCTAAGAAATGAAACAAGAGGGGGCCAGCAGTTAACGTAATGGCTATGTCACTGGACTCCCATGTAGTCGACTGCGGTTCAAGTACTGGACCCAGTGGCTTAAACTCACGCTGAGTGTGTATGTGTGAGTGCCCAAGATCTCGAGAAGAGAATGGAGGAGAAGGGATTGCGGCATGGCCATGCCCCCACCCCCAGAGGGTGATTTCTCACTTTCTGTCTGTCTCTGTCTTTCTGGCAAGTGCACATGCCCTATAGCAAAAAAACACTCTAAAAAAATAATCCAGAAATAAAAAAAGAGAGGTACGTCCACATTTCCACATTCAACCCTCTTTCTCAACCTAGGACTAGATGTCCCAGCCATAGATACTGAGCAAGAGAAAGAAATAAAGAGCATCCAAATTGGAAATGAGGAAGTCAATTTGTACCTATCTGCAAACAATAGGATCTTTTACATGGAAAACCTTAAAGATTCTACAAAAAAAAAACCTCTCTGAACCAATAAATTCAGTAAAGTTATAGGATATAAAAATCAACCTACAGAATCAGTATATTAATTACCATGATTTAATAATTACACATTACATCCATGTGCTGTAAAAGCACATTGCACCTCTGTAGGTGTGTAGTTATAGTAATTATTAGTAACAAATAAAACTGTCCAAAAGTTAATAAAAAATAAAAATATTTGAAGTAAGTGTCATTAATTGCAATAGTATGGCAATTAATGAGGTTGGATATTTTTCAAGCTGTTTTAAAATTTACAGATATGTTAATGAACTACATTTCTATGCTTGCATTCATAATGGTGAGAGATAAAAACAACAAATTGTTCCGTTCCAATTTAGAGAAACTGGCTCATAATTAATACTAATTGCCTAACTCTTTTGTGTTTTGTAAGAATTAGCATGATAAAACTGACATGATTCTACAGATTTAATTATAGCTGTGCTGTCATCTGATAATCTTATTTGACTTTCTTTTTGAGCAATACTATTTCCTAAATTCTGTGAATCAAGGGACAACTTCAACATTTGTTTAAGAAATCAAATACCTACTACAAAGCATTTGAAATACAAGTTGACTTACCAAATCAGTGAAATTATGTATCTTGCTACTCCAAGTTTGATTCTTTAAAATATAAAAGCAACACATTGTATCTTTAAAGATTTAACAAAGGAGTTAAGCCCTTGGTTTCAAAGATACTGGGAGAACACACCGCACTGAATTATTTATTCAACTATAAAGAATTTTCCGTAGTTGAACACCCTTGGATCCACTCCATCCACCCCCGCCTTCCATATCTTGTTAGTTCCTCATACCCTATTAACTTACATCTGAGCACTTAGGATTTTAGCTGGACCTAAAATGGAGAACATACATCTTTTATCTTTGCAGAGACACATCTGGTAAGTAATAATGTAAATGATACTCTTTCCAGAAAAATGCGCAGACATAGTGCGCAACGTAATTCAAGGAGCCTATAGGCCTCCTGAAGTGCTCGTGGACACCGTGTCTGGCTCCAGTGCCTCAACACAGCATTCCAAAGCAAAGCGTTTTCTGGAACCGTCACACTAACCCAGACTGCAGCTAACCCAGGATCAGAGGATCCTAGGACACTGAAAATTTTTTTTTTTTTTTGAGAGGTTTTTGCTATAGAGCACATGCGCTCACCAGAAAGACAGAGAGAAACAGAGAGACAGAAAGTAAGAAATCCTCCTCCATTCTTCTCTCAGGATCTTGGGCATGCAGGCACATGGACCCAGCATGAGGTTAAGCTGCCGGGTCTGGGACTCGAATCACAGTCAACTACATGGGAGTCCAGCAACATAGCCATTATGCCATCTGCTGGTCCCAACACTTAAACTTTTAACTGTCTCAGGGAACTCCTTGTAGGCTTAAAAACACATCCCAAGGGGCTGACAGGTGATGTGGTGGTTGGGATGCTGGACTCCCACATGGCTGACTGTGGTTTGAGACTCAGGCTTGGCAGTTTACTTTCTCATTTTCTCTCTCTCTTGCTCTGTCCCTCTCTGGTCAAATTAAAACAAATAAATAAATAAAGTTAAATAAAGTAATTAAAAAAAATACATCCCCACATGTCTAACAGCACTCCTTTCTGTCTCATTTTTCTACGTGATCTTTGGACTCTGAAAAGTTCTGTATCTACGTTCTTACCATGACATTGCCATTTACTTGACAAGTGAATGAGGAGACACCTCATTTACTTGTTTCCTCAGGTCCGGCAGGAGATATGGGTATTTTTGTCCACAGTCCATCCCTGTATCATTTTCATAAAGTTCTGTTTCTTCCCCCAATCTGAAGGCCCCCTTTTCTTTCCTAGACCCAGCCACGCTAAACACACTTCGAAACAGCCCATAACGTGCACTGGAATTTCATTCCACGGTCAGTGGAGAATGGCCCTTCCCTGTAGCCTTGTCAAAGGGAGGTTGTTGATTCCAAAATTCCAGGTGACTCTCTTCTCTTCCCCAAAGCAGCTCTCAGGCACTCGTTTTGTTTAAAGATCTCTTTTCCTTTGGGGCTTATTTCTACCACACAGCCAAGTCTCAGGCTTTGTGATGCCCTGTCACTCCCAGTTGTTGTCACCAGAGTCTTAAAACAAGGCCTGCATACAATAGCGTGTCCCACTAAAATGAGCTTCTTCAACATACGCTTCTCTTATGGGAAGAGAGAAATACATGCAAAGGCTCACTGGATGTTGACATGAACTGCGTATGACTAATTCTTAGTGTGAGTGCAGAATTATAGTGAGGTGTCACAGTGGTGAACTAAAGAAAAACAGCACATCATGTAATAGACACACTTTTCATAGTAATTTCTATTAAAAATACAGTTTAAGCTACTGTTCATGTTATTGAAAGTGACTTCTGAAAAATCTTATTTCTCCTCAGTAATTTCAAAGTAAATATCTCTAACTATATTTACCTTAGGAAATGTTCAAATTACCTAAAGTATCTGCATTTGTACTGGGTATGGTTTTATCCATATAGCACTGGTCATCTATTTGGTGATCCCATATCGCATGAATCCTACTGTCAAAACCAAACCATCATGTAATTTGCATCTACACAAGCCTTTTTCAATCCCTTCTATAACAGGTTTGAAAGTAAATATATCAGGACTTTGTACAATTGTTTGTGTAACCTTTACACTAAAAATGTTTCCATATAACTTTTTATTTTCTCAGGTACATCTTGGACCAAAAAAAAAAAATACCTTGTGGTTATTTTTCCTAGAATTCTTAACATACTGAGGTAGGAACATTTCAACCTAAAATAACATGCACACTTAAATTTTAGTGTTAGAGAGGAATATAATGTCGTATTTAATGCTTTTTTTATATTAAGTATAAAACATTGGGTTTGAAATACGTAGAAACGTGCTTTGTATTTTATCACGGTCTTATTATCTTCATCTAGAATCACACCTCACCAGCTCTTCATTCTGTTAGATTTACAATGGCCACAGGTCAAACAAAATAACTTGTTGCCTATACTGATGGAGAAACATGTCTAAAATTCTATCGTTTTAGAGATGACAGCTTCTCTCTCTCTCCCTTGTTCTGTCTCTCTGTTTATTTTCCTTTGTTTAGAAAAGTTAGAGCTACATTATTTTCCCCTTCCCTCAGTTTTAATAAAGTCGATCTTAGTGTAGTTAAAGTCAAATGATTTTAATGAACATGTTACTCCACTAATTCTGGATTAGTACTAGTATCTGTAGTGTATTTGACTTCTATAATGTTACCATCAAGCCCTTCTCCTTCTTAACTGTATCTTAAAAACAATGGGAGGAACAGATGTTAAACCATGACTTCCTCATGCTCTTTCCTGCTATGGACCACTGTGAGCCTAATAAAGCCCATTTGTGGGATGGTAGTGGTAAATGCATCAAGTCAAATCAGAAGAATTACCGGAGGAATGGGTGGATTAACACCAAGTTGTATCCATGTGTACTTTGTAATGCAGTCTGGGTACTCCCAGAGAAGCGTGTACAATTTAAATATATTTCAACTAAACTTGGCCATGAGAAACCTTGACTCAGTTATGACACAGAAAAATCCCATGGGAACGTACGCCCTTTCATCTTAAATATATTGCAGAATTCACAACACAAGGACATGCTAAATACAATTTTATAACACAGCTGTTGAAGTGAGCGGTATAAGCAGCTATGTGAAAGTGCGTGGGAGGATGGAAAGGGGGAACTGAGAACAGGTTAGCAGAGACTCGGTCGTACCTTTATGGCAGTCGACGCAATCTGAATGTGGTGAAGTCTCCGCAGGGTGCTGTCCCTGTCGATGAAATAGGAGGCGGCGAGTTGGTGGAGGGTCTCCAGGGTGACCGACGAGCTGTTGGTGCTGGAATCACTGCCTTCAGATCGTTTGCTCAGCTTCCGCTTGTCCACAAAAATGGTGAGTGACTCCTCTCCTGCATCAACGATATTTCAAATTAGTCCGTTTCTCACTTGAAATCAATCTGCAAGTGGTGAGGACGAGGTGATGAATGAATGAAACAAAAGAAAAAAATTATTTTTAGATTCACAAAGATTTCCCAAGTATCTAGAAAAGTTTCTGAACTACTAAAGGCTTACACGTGTATCTGGTGACAGTTAAACATCTAGCTTTTGCTGAACAAGCTCTCTAGTTTTCACTGGTGTTCTTACACTTGAGCTCACTTAACACTCCTGTGGCCCCCACACACATTAAAATTGATCATATAAATTGGTAATAGAAAACTAGGGTATGGCACATGATATAAAATTGTATGTACTCTAACCTTTTGGCCACTGCACAGCATAACAAAATGGAAACAAGGTAAAATATTGGCAGTTTCAGTTTTGTTTGTTAGTTTTAATTTGCTAGTGGGCACGTGGGCTGAACAGGGAGAGGGAGAGGAAGTGTGAAGGCACCCCCATGGTGGATGGTCCTGCTGCAATCCCTTCTCCATTCCTCGCTCTTTTGTCGTTTGAGCATGTTTATATGTGTGCAGTGAGCTTCCAAGCCACGGATCCGGGATTCCAACTACATAGTCAGTCAGGTGGGATTCTGCTGCCTTAACCACCACGTCACTGGCTGGTCCACTGGTTTTTAATTTTAAATTTTAGACAAAGCATATGTATGCAGATATACACACGTATGTAGTACATATGAGGAGCTTTCACAAAGTTCATGAAACATGCGTATGATGACAAAACTGTGCATGGATTTCAAAATGTTTTCACATTAAAATAAACTCATATATTAACTCCATTTTTCCTATGAACTTTTTGAACTTCCTTGTATATACTAGGAATTAATTCAGAAGTTCACTACATATGATATATTAAAATACTGTGTATCAACCCCATGCCAAGAAATTGCTAACTTCTATGGAAAACGTAGGTAGTGGCAATGGATTCTCAAAGGTGAATTTTCAATATATTACAATTAAGCCATAACTTTCGATATTCAAATGTTGACAAAAACTACCCATGTGATTGAAATCAGACATTAAGAACTTGTGATGCTCGGGCTTCCATTTTACCGGGTATTCATCTAGCACATAATTGTCACTTGTTCACATTCTCTCAGGGACCCATCTGTTCGGGTGGCATTGTGCCCACGTGCAAACTGACAAGCCAGGTTTAGAAAAAGCCAAGAAAAACTGCATAGTAGAGTAGTTTGTGTTTCCTCCTCATCTTAAAAATAACAATAATTTTAAAATGACAAAGCCCAGATCCTAAGTAAGAGCTCATACATCTCTGTACCACGAGGAAGTCAGCTTCTACCAGAGAAAGGGTGCAACAAAGGTTCTTTCTTTCTTTCTTTCTTTCTTTCTTTCTTTCTTTCTTTCTTTCTTTCTTTCTTTTTCTGAGCGGTTTTTGCTATAGGGTGCGTGTGCTCACCAGACAGACAGAGAGAGACAGAGAGACAGAAGGTGAGAAATCACCCCCCAAGGTCTATGGCCACACCACGATTCCTTCTCCTCCATTGTCCTCTCAGGGTCTTGGGCACGCACCATACGCGCCTGGCGTGAGTTTAAGCCCCCTGATCCGGGAATCGAACTGCGGTTGACTACGTGGGAGTCCAGTGACATAGCCATTATGCTAACTGCTGGTCCCACAAAGGTTATTTCTGAAAATTGCATTCTGTTTGTTTCTTTTTTTTAGATTTTTACCATAGGCCATGTGTGCTCGCAGGAGACAGAAAAGATATAAAGAAGGAAAGTGAGAAATCACCCTCCCAGGGGCGCTGGCCACTCTGAAATCTCTTTTCTTCCATTTTCCTTCTGGGATTTTGGATTCACACACACACATGCACCCAAAGTGAGTTTCAAGTCACTAGGTCTGGAACTTGAACTATGGTCAGCCATGTGGGAGTCCAGCACCTTAACCACCACTCCACCTGCTGGTACCTAACATTCCTGATTATGTTTGGACATCAAGCAGACAAAGTAGAACTACTAAAGAAAGAAAATAATGCCCATCAAGAATAAGTGGCAAAATCATTTATAGCGTTAGGTCATAAGTATAGTAAACAGCTCGGAAGTTGGAACATTCAAATGTGAAAGGGAACATATATATAAAATATTATAAAATAAAACAAGCAAACAAAAAATCCCAACAAGCACTCTCAGAAGAATATCAAACAATGTGGAAATATGTGTGACTGCATCTTAAGAATGAACGAATCTGAGGAAACCTCATCTCTGGGCTAAGTAGCATATAGAACAGTTCAGTGGTCGTCTAAGAACTCAGAAACCAGCTCTGCTAGGTATGTAAGAGATGTGTCTTATTAAGTGAGATTAAAATAGGACAGCTATGTCTTGGTAAATGTAAATAAAAAAGAAACAAAGGCAATGCTCTTGATATCAAATAGTAAATAATTTGGGCAAAAATTATTAATTAAGGCAAATTAAAAATAATGGCTAGGAGCTGGCAGCTGCTGTGGTGATTAAGGTGGTTGGATTCCCACATGGTTGACCATGGTTTGAGTTCCAGACCTTGCTTTCTCACTTTCCTTCTCTCTCTCTCTGTCTCTCTCTGGTCAACTTCAAAAAATAAAATAAAATAATGACAATAAATAAAAAATACAATAATTCTTAGAAAAGAATGGCTAGTACTAGTAACTAAAACTGGCTACTATCAGCAACTAAACCTTGCAAAGTTGCATAGAGCAGAAAATACAGGGGCTAAAAATGTACACTGCTAATATTATGACAGATCAATGCACATTTCTTATACTTAAATACATCTGGAAGGCTAAGACATTGGTATGTTTAAAGTATTTATTTACATCATCCAAGAGCAAGAGAAACAAAGAGAGAGAAAGGAACAAAGTGAGGCAGCTTCCCAGAGGGTTCGGATGCCCTGACCCCCCTCAGCCCAGCCAGCTCCAGATCACAGGCACATTTATGTTCAGTGCACTCAGAGAGGAGACTGGGCATGAACCGGGGAGGTTTCCATGTGACACTGCTTCCTAGAGTACCATGCTTCATTGCCACTCCGTTTTCTGGACCCTTCTAAGTAAATATTGAAGCTCAAATTGTTAATAGAGAAGGAACCCTTCTTTTCAAGAGTACTCAGAACAAAATTTGGGGAAAAGGCATAGAAAGCAACCATGGATACCAGGGACAGTGTGGGAGGAGGGTGAGACATAGCAGAGGGTGAGAGAGAGAGGGAATCAAGGATGGCCAAAAAAGCAAAATATACAGGGAACAAGAAGTGGAAAATTATTTGTTGATGATAACACTTATGTTGATGTGCTTGAATGAGCCAATATAGAGTGCATTCTGGGATGGGAAATTTCACTTGGTATGCTGTAATGATGTATAGTGAATGAATGTAAATAAATAAATAAATTTACATTTAAAAAGGAACATTCTCCAAAACATGGCTGTATATTCTGTTACTATGCTCCAGACATTTGAAAAGAAAGCAATATCATCATTGACTGACTAAACGATAATAAACATAACAATTAATAGAAAATAAAAAGGCATTCATATGTAACGACTCCCTACTATAATTTTGAATGAAAAGATAGATGAAAGTAGAATTACAAACTTTCAAGGAAAACATTATATATCAAAATTTTTTGCATCACAATAAATTCATACCTTAATTACTATTTCCCATGTACTATTCAAGTACTAAATTTTTTGCATCACAATAAATTCATACCTTCATTACTGTTTCCCATTTACTATTCAAGTACTCTCATAGAAAAAACTTTAAATATATATATTACATTGTCAGGAAAATACATAAATAAATACATAAATAAAATATTAATTACATAAAAATTTAAAGACAAAAGAAATGATAAAACAAGGTTATATAAAATAAAAAGAAGTAATTACAACTATGAAGGCATGTGTAGAGTTAAAAAGAAAAAGAGGAGAAATAAAAAACACATCCCCAAATAGTTTTATTGAGAGAAAAAAAATACACCAACAATCAGTTGACTGTAGAAAGAAAACTAAACAAAGAATTGACAGATTAAACAAATTATAATGAAACAGATTATTTTAAAAAAACAGTATAATTGATTTTGTAAAATGTTTCACAAGTAAATTTAGATGTCATAGAATGCTTTCACCCCATAAAGAGAAAAAAAAAAAATTAACAGACCCATATGGTTTTGGAGGGGAACTCTGCCAAAATCTTAAAGATCAAAAAAATCTGACTTTACCAAAACTGTTTCTAGAGCACATTAAATAAAGGAAAACTTCCAAGTTCATTTTTATAAACTGAGTGAAAAATTGGCTCAAATACCTGGAAAATACCACACACACACACATAGTAACAACATATAATAGTAATGTTAATACATGATAAATAATAATATTGATAATATGAGTATCAATCCAAAAATCATAAAGTCATAGCAAACATGGCAACAGTAAGTTTTTTTTAATAATTATTTTATTTAACTTTATTTATTTATTTATTTATTTATATTTGAGCAAGGAGAGACACAGCGAGAGAGGAAAAGTGAGAAAGCAAGCTGCCAGGTCCAACACTCAAACCACAGTCGGCCACGTTGGAATTCAGCGCCCTTAACCACCACGCCACCTGCCAGCCCCGGGCAACAGTAAGTTTTTAAAACTTGTATCTCATGAGCAAATACGATAATTCTCGTAGTGCAAGGGTGGCTCACTTATTAG